GTCAACTGTTATTTTAAAGTTTATGGCGGCGCGTCTGTGACAGGTTGTACGCCTTTCCGTTGTAGTTTCCCTCCATGGATGATATGGACGCGTTGTTTGAATCCGGTTGACTGTCTCATACACCTCATCCCCTCCTTCCTCTTGAGGGAAGGTGGGGGTTCGGTGCACCTTACCCCTCTTTGTGGAGCCACTTCAGCTTCGTAACCTTTCATGAAATCCCGCCAAAGCCTCAAGCAGGAGGTCTCTGCCCCGTGCCTGGGCGGGATGTCACAGGAAGAGGGCCGCAGGCCGCAGGTGTCACAGTCCTTCTACCGCCCCCCCATGCCAGAGGTGGACCTGACGGGAAAGCTCTACAAGAGGGAGGCGGGTGGCAAGCCCTACTCTGTACTGGTGGACAACAAAATGGCGACCAAGACGGCGGCTGACAGCGCTCAGCAGTATTTCCGTGAGGGTGCGGCAGGACGAGGCATACGCACGCAGGACGATGAGGACACTTCAGAGGAGACCGAAGATGACGACGAAGAGGAGGACGGACAGGAGGAGGGTTTTAAGCGTGAGCAGATCATAGTGGAGGTAAATCTCAACAATCAGACCCTCCACGTTTCCAAGGGCGACAACAAAGGCGATGTGGCTGGAGACGACTTGGAAAGAGGTTGCAGCGAGGATGATGAAGATGGGGAAGAGGTTGAAGACGAGAGCCCCTACGAGGATGAGTACGAGGATGAGGAGATCGAAAGACGAAGAACGAGGTCAAAGAGGGCCCACAGAAGTGCGAGTTGCGCTTCCGGCCAGCCACAGAGGAAGAGTCTCCGAACGTCTCTAAACTCGCCATCCTCAGGAATGACCACCCGGGGGCGACGGAAGCACACCGAGACAGCAAAGATCCAACGGCGTTCTGCCCGTTCTACTCCGCCGGTGTCCGCGGGCGTCATGGTCCCGAGCGGCAAGGCTGAGGGAGAGAAGGAGATGCTGGCGTGTGAAAAGTGCCCTCGCGTGTTCAACACACGCTGGTACCTGGAGAAGCACATGAACGTAACGCACAGGAGGATGCAGATCTGTGACAAGTGTGGCAAGAAGTTTGTCCTGGAGAGTGAGCTGGCCTTGCACCAGCAGACCGATTGCGAGAAGAACATTCAGGTGAGAAGACACGTGTGTGTGTGTGTGTGTGTGTGTGTGTGTGTGTGTGTGTGTGTGTGTGTGTGTGTGTGTGTGTGTCTTTTTTTTCATTATCGCATATCCTGAACAATGACAGGCAAACACAAACAAGAGGTTCAGCTGAAAACATTGTGCATTTGAGCATATTTGTGCATCAGCATTCACAAATTCATTTCCAATTCATTTTTTATTTCCTAAACCTATCTTACATTATAAAAACACACACACACACACACACACATGCCCTTTTTTCCTGCACAGGCCAAATCAATAAAAATTTTTCTCTCCTGGCATCGTCAGGGAACTCTATCCGTAAGAAAAAAATGTGTTTTGCTACCATCTTGTGGCCGCATAAGGCAATTGTAAGCTGTAAGCGGCGGCGTCACTTATTCGCCAGTTTCGCTATTTGTGACAGGGCTTGGTCCCAAGCCTCTTCAAATCACACTGTCATGCAATCAAAATAAACGAAAAATTGGACATATACGATGAAGACATTTTCAAGATAGTACATGGTGTTAATGCATTGAAAGCGACTTGTTAAATTAGACTATGTGGTCAGGTAAGAGCCACAAATTGAACAAGGATCACTCAGTTGGCTTAAGACATATTTCACTACTGGTTCAATTTAAATATATTTTGTGAACGTCAATACAGATTTTTGTCATCTGTGTGCTCACGGCTAAGTTGTTTGCTCGATGTTTGGACGGTTTCAGACGAGTGTACAGTGTGTCGTGGTAGCGCTGCCGTTTTCCCCAATGGTATGTGTTGTTGGACTCGTTTTCAGCCAGCAGAGGGAGCTATAGTATAGGATAAGGAAATCCATAGTACACAAAATGAGGGACGGTTCCTACTTATTGCATGTATGTCTTATCATCGCCCATTTTAATTGTTCTTCTTCATGTGTTATTTCCAGTGCGTCTCCTGTAACAAATCCTTCAAGAAGCTGTGGTCGCTGCACGAGCACATCAAGATTGTGCACGGCTACGCCGAGAAGAAATTCTCGTGCGAGATCTGCGAGAAAAAGTTCTACACCATGGCCCATGTCCGCAAGCACATGGTTGGTGAGTGAAGTGTGACAGCCCAGATGACAAATAAAACATATGTTGGACTAGCTTAATGCTAACGTATAATGGGCAGTTCCATCAATGGGCTCACAAATATCATCAATGTGGCGGCTTAAACGGTCAGGTCCATAAATATTGGGATGTTTTAGGAAATGTTTTAACTTTCCTAACCCAAATGTAAAAAAAAATATGCACACACCATTAATCGCAAGTCAATTTGGAGGAGTAGACCAAATATAAAAACGAATGATACAATAATGAGATCGGAAATGAAAGAGCTGCATTGTGAATAGTGAAAAAAATGGTGTGGCGATTGATTTTTGACAGTAATTTAAAACGGAAAAGAAACTCGAACTTGTCAGATTCTTTTTCAGGTCACCCCTTGTTCAGTTTTGAATAGGTGTCTTGCTGAACTGACGTCTTGCGTACTACGCCGAGTTCAAATCCAGTTCATTGTTGTGTTGTTTGGCTTCATCTCGCGCTCCCTTTCTCTCTTTCAAAACTGTATTTCTTACCTGTCAACATGCACAGCTCATACCAAGGACATGCCGTTCACCTCTGTGTTCTGACGGAAGCATGGGCCATTGTTGCATCATACTCATTAAAATGCTCTCTGTGATACTTGGCAGCAGATGCACTCCACACCCATCAGTCTGTTTGAAAGTGTCACAGAAGTATTGCCCGAAAAGAAAAAAAAGAGCAATGTTGGAGGCATATTTATTTTATTTTATTGATATATTTATTCGGACTCTCTAGTCAGGTTGTATTTGTGGCCCAACAAAAGCCGCTTTCTCATATTGCAAGCGCTGCACCACAACACCACCCAGAGAGCCTCTTAGTCATCGATTGCGATGTCATCCACCAGTATTTACCGGTAGGTTAAGCGTCGGACTGTGATATCATCAAAGTAGCTCAAAAGTATTGAGTCACTCTTTTTTAATTGATCAACTAACCATTCATCTTGACAAGACAGTATCAAAAATGCAGCGGAGGCGCCAATTTCCTTCCTTCTAACTAAGGTCCTTATAATCCGCCTTTCTGAATTCAAGTGGACAGATGGAGCGTTGTCCTTCACCCGAGGCCTTTCGGACGTGTGCACGGGTGGAGCCGCTCTAATTAAACGCGAGACGTCACCCTGCCCCTGTAGCGTGTCATTACTGGCTTATTTTAGCAGCGTGTAGCATCTAGGCCACTCTCCTCGGTGGTCTCGGCCCACACTGCCGCCGCCGCCTTTTAATTTTTAGCCAGGTGCTGTCACTGAGCAGTCTCACTTTGCGAACATCATTTGCTTTGTGTTGATTTTTGAGGAATTTGAATGACCCGATGTATGTTTGATGTGATGTGAACCTTCAGAACTGCGACGAGCGCTTCCAGTACAAGTACCAGCTGCGCTCACACATGAGCATACACATTGGACACAAGCAGTTCATGTGCCAGTGGTGCGGCAAAGACTTCAACATGAAGCAGTATTTTGACGAGCACATGAAAACGCATACAGGTGAGGAAGTGATCACGTGGTTTGCTTGACTTTTGAGCCACGGGGCCTTTCATCCAACTAAATTTAGTTCCTGGCATCTGGTTCGGGCTCCCTATTGGGCTCACTTTTCATATGTTGCGCCGCCTACTTTTCTCTGCTCCAGAAATCTGGTTTACTTGCAGTGTTTGTGGTCCTAAGTTGTGCTTTTATTCTGCCAATTGCATTTCTAAAATTCCAGCTTTGGGTACTAAGCCAGCTGATTTCTGCAGCCCAGTTTTCACAAAGAAAATCGGTTGGCTTCATTGCGGTGCATCGTAGCAGTAGTCGGTGCGGTGTATAGTTTATTGATTGGACCACAACACTTTTAAAAAAATTCTATCTGTCCTTCCTCCAGTCTTACATTGATGTGAGACGATGTGCGCTACTTTGTTCAGCGTCAACTTTTGAGTTGGAACACATTTCCCATGTTGTCACTCTACCTCCAATGCCGACCGCAAATTAACACGCCACCTGGCACCGAACGCGGAAGTGCTGCATGCTTCGAGTCCCTTGGCAACTTGCACATGCGGTGTGACTCCAGCCTTCAAGACATTTGCGGTTTTCGATCGATGCCCGGCTTTCCACTTCTGTGTCGAATTCATGACCACCTTCCACGATGTCACTCTGTTTAAATCTGGTGAAGAATTTATCCTTCTCAACTGTACCATGGCAACTCAAACTGGACCGCTAGGTAAAAATGTGGCTTCTGCTGTCTAAAAGAAGAATCGGGTGTGACATTGTTGAAATGCATGTTATAGTGAGACGTCGCCCATTTGTTGTAATGAGAGGGGCTGCGAAACATGAAGGAGTGGCGTGCGTATGTAATGACTAGCCGCTCACATGCTGCCGATTCCATCCCTCTGATTTTCTCTGCCTGCTACCTCTCCATTTTCCCGAACCAAGCTTTTGCGGTACGGGCCTTTTTCCAGGATTCCACACAGCTTCTATTTGTGATATGTAATTACACGATTCCTTTCCTGTACTTGCTGTTGGGAAAGGACACACCCAGCCAAGGCCTGCATTACCGGCTGTCCCAACTTTTTACATCAAGTACCACCTCATAAAATACTTAACGTACAGCACTTCTGCAAGTACGACTACCATGATGATTTTTTAAAATACAGGAGCAAAAATGAGGCAGAAATCTATGTTTGAATTCATTGCAAGCCACTGCAACATAATGCACAGTTTGAACATTAACACTGCGTTGAAATATCGTCTTGAGGTCATGTCAGGGTGGGCGAGTATCGATACTAGGTACCGGTCTCATGTCGATACCAGCCTTGTTTTTTTTTTTTGGTATCAGGTATCGTCGAGGCTGCCGATGCTACCCACCGATATTTAAGGTAAAGAAAATCTGACATCAAGTCCTTCTTGGAAGTAGCTGGCTCTAAACTGCGTCAAGCTGCCATGTCAGCGAATCATCATCGACGTCAGAAAGTGTTTGTTTTTTTTGTTTTTTTAGACATCAGAATTACTAGAGGGATCAATACTCGGAATTGGTGAGTTCTCAAAGAGGAAATACCCTACTCATACTGGTGAGGGTCTTAAAAAAAATTGTGGCCTGGAAATTCCCTCTTAAAATGTATTGCTCATAAGTTAGATTAAAAAAATGTACCAAAATAAAAGTATCTCAATCGTACTGAACAAATGTACTGCATTGGATTAAACAAGGTTTCAAATTCTGTAACATTATGCGCAGTTTGAACATTTAATTTAATCTATGCATATAATTTTTTTTCCACGTACCATGTGCGCAGACCACCCTTTGAGAACCACTGCGTTAGAATACAGAGCTCGACCCCCCCACAAGCAGATTCATGACAAATTCTTCCCACTATAATGGACTGTGGTTACACAAGATGGCTGTCACCTCTCTAATGTTCGAGCTGGTTTGCCGGCGACATGGCAGATGAAGGCGTTTCAGAGAGCCCTTCAGCAGCCGGCGGAGGGACGGCCGCGTGGGCGCCGGCAAGCGCATTGAATACCCGCGTGGAGGAGGTTAATGAGAGTGGCTGCTCCGACTGTACATTTTCCCGTCTCCTCAAAGTGTCACTTGTAATAGCTTCCTGCCGAGTGGGCGGCTCAGCGGCACAGACCCTCCGATGGAGATGGAGGCTTATTAGCATTTAAGGAAAAAGACGTGCCGGGAACAAGATGTGATGTTTGATAGAAAAATAGAAGCTATATTTATGCAAATTTTGAGCGTCACAATCAGGGTTGCACAGGGGATGGGGGGTAACTATGGGATGTTTAGTTGGACTATCTTGGAAATATTCCAGGAAACAATTTACACATTTTTCTTAGGATGAAATGGATCATATCGCCATGTATGGTCATTTTGTGGTAACATCACCAACAAAATGTGGAGCAAAACACGTATTTTAGGCAGGCGGCCGTCTCCATTGATATTCTACACCTCGAGTCTTCACTCTGAGTGCCTTTCATGTTGGACAGCGTCTCGCGATGGTCTCTATGTTAAACCCCCGATTATAAAAGGACACGTGGTTTGCATTATAGGTGCATGTCTGATGTTTATAACGACACAATCCAATGAGTTGTCATGACCTTGGAGCCAAACTTACTCAAGGTGGCAGCTACATGCGTGTCGTCAACCGGCTAAGGCTTGCTCGAGCTAACATCGACCGTCTCTGGAGCTAGCGGCTTTGAGCATGCAGGCTAACCCATCCAGCATCCAAGGATGTGGGTATGTTAATTCTACAACACCAAAGTGTGCAATAAGCGACCCAGAATTCTACCCTGGGCCACAATGGAGCGTGAGATTCAACTTAAACGTGTCCAGTTTATCCCCGTTCATTGCTGTCATCCCCATTTCCATTCCATTGTTTTCATCTTTAACCGCCCCTCGCCACAATCATGATTTTCTTCTCCATACAGGAGAGAAGCCGTTCATTTGCGAGATTTGCGGCAAGAGCTTCACCAGCCGGCCCAACATGAAGCGCCACCGCCGCACGCACACGGGCGAGAAGCCGTACCCGTGCGAGGTATGCGGCCAGCGCTTCCGCTTCTCCAACATGCTCAAGGCGCACAAGGAGAAGTGCTTCCGGGTCACCAGCCCGTTGGTGCTGCAGCCCGGCGGCCCGCCCGTGCCGGTCGGCCTCTTCGCCAGCACTTTCTCCACCTCCTCCTCTTCGTCGTCTTCTGGTCCCGGGCCTTCAGCGGCCACCTCGCCAGCCGTCACCAGCGCGACCACCCAGGGTATCCACTCACCCGGGGCGGCCTTACCCCTGCGAGGCCCTTTGGGACACACCTTCCCCCACGTGCAGCTCCACACGGCCTCCTCGCACCAACACTCCCAACCGCACCTTTCAAACGCCCACCACCACCACCTGGCAGTGCCCCCGGTCTCCCACCTGCCCCCTCCGCCGGCCCTTTTCAAAAGCGAGCCTCTCAACCACTGTGGGCATGAAGATAGCACTTACATGCACCACATGGCGTCTGCTGAAAAGGGTCCTGGAGCCTCTCAACATCACTGAATTGTGAACCACAACCCGCGGGCGCTGCCTCAGTCACTCAAACCATCACTAACTTCTTGGATTCAATATGTAAACCAGTGGGCCACCTTTTTTTTTTTTGTAGGCAAAACCCAGTCCTTCGTTTACGCACACCATCTGGCACCAAGTTAAGTTACGTTTTCACTGAGCAAGTCTTTATGCATTTATTCTTTTTAATCCATTGTAAAAAAAAAATTCAAAAACATCCCGCACTTAGAGGTAAGATCAGGCCAAAAAATCCAGCCCGACCTGACCCGACCCGCAGGTATTAAAGCCCGACCCGGCCCGAGCCCAACCAATTAATTTGATTTGAAGGCCCAAACCTGAAATTTAATATTTTATTGGTGAGGACTCGGGAGGCGGAAGGGTGATTCATGATAACAAATTAAAGCCTGTCTTTTGTAACGAAATCTAAGTTAAATAAGACTGCATAAACATTTACATCTTTTATATTACTGTTTCTGCAGAGGGTACATTAACCAACCATTTCCCATCATTGACGGGGAAAATTGAAGGCCGTCTGTCATTTTGACGGGTTGAAAATTGGGGATGACCGTCCGTCATTTTGACGGGTTGAAAATTGGGCCATTTAACCACAGCAGCAGTACGTCCTTAAGAATCTAGCGCAGCACTTTAAGAGAGAGAAGCAGAGAGACAAAGGAGAACAATGTCGGATGGATAAAAGACAGACAGGAAGGAGTTCTTTGAATTGTCATTGGAAGAGTTTAGTAACAGTACGTGTTGTGATGAGGCGACTTTTGGGTTTTTTTGCGAACCACGGTCTCTCGTGGCCAAAACTATTCACGGCCTCGAAACGCCTCAGCGCACTGTGATGTTATTAAAAAAAAAAGTCAGCGAGAGAGAAGCCCGACCCGACCCGACCCAAAGATCTTACCTCTACCCGCTCTGCCACTCTGTCAGCACCCTTTTGTTGGGGTACCAGTTAGGAATGTGCCAAATATTCGGTCATCGGCAAATTATGGTCTGAAAACTGTCATTGAAGCAACACAGCCAAGACAGAATGTTTGCATTGTAGGATTTGATTTAGAAGAAATTGGGGGCGGCGGTTCTGGTGCATCACCTCGTCTTGTCCGACCCGGGTGAAATGTGGGCAACAACAACGGTGTCTTTTTGAAGATTCCCCAATGCAAACAAGTGTAGCATTAACACAGAACTCTTCCTCTGGCCAGAGGTTGAGCTGCTGTGTATTTGTTTATCAAACCATATGTGAAGTTACAGTGCAAGGCTGATACACTTCCCAACCTTCACATTTTAGTCCATGAGGCAAATCAGTTGGCCTCGGTACTGTACTGAAAGATTGTTAAGAAAAAAAAAAAATCTAACGAAAAGAAGTCTAAAAAGTGGGCATTTTAAAAAATCGGTCATGTTGACCTTCCTGTCCGTGCCAGTGCGTCAAAACAACCAAACCAAAACCACGGTGAACTCAATTAGACGGACTGTTTGGTGGAAACGTGGCTTAATGATAGAGCCAAGCCCGTATTGTTCAAAGCATTTCCCTGAATCCATTGTTCAAATCTTGGACCTTCTGAGCAGCCCACCACAAGCCGATTCATGTCAGGGTGCTCCTCTGCAACACATTTTTACATGTGCTTGAAAGACTCAAGACTGATACGAACTCCCTATTTAAGACAAGCTACACACGCTTTACAAGTGGCGAGTATTCTCAAGTGGATTGCGAATGGATTTTTTTTTTTTCCCCCCCTGGAGGTCCAAAATATTCTGTGAATGTTGTCGCTGGTTCTCCCAGTCGCCCAAGAACGCAGTGCCGTGGACTCCAGTGTGAGAGAGAGAGAGAGAGAGGGGAAGAGTTGTTTTTTTTTTTTTTTTTTTAATCTACATATTTTTGGGGGACTTAAAATGGAGCTCTTGGCTATGATGTAATACGATTCATTGTGGTTCAATGGTGCTTTCCATTCCAGTCGACGCAATTTCTTAACTTTGGCTTTCGCTGTTCAAATTTCAGTCATACCCACCCCCGAACCGAATCGCAAGCGACACCGCTCAAATGTGGACCCGATATGATCATTGTGAAGAAACTCCGGTTTTGCATCACAAGAACCGATGAGTGCAACCTCTTCTCTCTCATCACACACTGCCACTCGGTCGGGTTCCAAACCCTCCCTCCTATTCTCCCGTTTCTGCCACAGTGCTGTCAATAATACGGGTTTGCCATGTTAAAGCACATTTAACATGCTCACTATACACACACGCGCGCGCGTGCACAAGTTACTCGGTTTGCTTTGGTGTTGTGACGATTTTGGAAGGTCGTTTTTGGACCTTTGGACCGCACGGGTCCGTCTTTTAGCCTGTTGAATGTCGCCTACGCGGAAAGACGTTCGGTGTTTTTGCTTCTTGTTTTTGGCCACCCCACGGTGGATAAACCCCCCCATCCCCTGGCACTTGTACGCGATCAAGCGCAAGCGATTACATTGGTGACAAAATGTATCAGCCGATGGTGTGAATGTCATGAGCTTTAAAAGGCGTCGAGCTTTGACTGTTATCTGACGCACAGTCCTGCGCAAATGTCTTGGGCCACTGTTAGGGCCTCAGGCAGGATCCTTCGGGGGAGCACAGACCTCTTGGAAGGTTGATCAAATTGTTTGTTTGTTACTTATCGGGCTACTTCCTGGACAAACTCATGAGCGATGCCATTATGATGCAGTCGGAGGGCCGGATAGTTACTTGATCCTGGGCCACCCCCCCCCCCCAAAAAAAATCCCTGCTTTGTGTACATTTGGTGGGAGTTTTTTGGCGCACAACCAAATTTTAAATGCGGTTTAGTGTCAAAATGGTGGACAAACATCCTTTTTTTGCGCAGTGCTATTTTGGAACACGTTTGATACCAATAAGCTCGTATTTGGGCAGACAGTAGCATTAAATTGACCGTGACCGTCTTTCGACAGTATTCAGCCCAGAGTGGTTGATGGCGTCCCCCGTCTGATGGATCGGACCTGCAGTTTGTGTTTGTGTGGCTCTTAGTTCCACTTCACGATCAGCTCATCATCCAGTTGCAATATGGCTCTTTGTCTTATCTGATGCCTTCCCCTCCCTCCCTCTTTCTTTGTGTGTGTGTATTCTCTGCACTTTAGCGCTGCGTGGGCAAGGCGCAGGGAAGTTGCGATTGTATTGTGGAACAGGCCACAATCCGGGCTGCGAGCGAAATTGGCTTTGTTTTTTTTCTCTTGTAAGGGCGAGGAAAGGAGGAGAACAGTGGGTGATGTGGAATGGACCCTACCAAAAAAAGAGGATGTTTCTAGTCCTTTTAAAAAAAAAAAAAGCATCCTCTTACTTTGCTGACCACACACTTGGCCATCCAATCTCTGTCTGCAGTACATTCTTTTATTTTCATGTTTTGCAAAAAATGGTCATGATGATGATGATGCTCCTCCTTTCTTTGCTGCATAGAATGCACTTTCTACTACTAAAACTCTTGGCTAGTTGCGAGAAAAAAAAATAACATTGTATATTCTAAGATTTTAAGATGTTTTAAAAAGATAAATCATGATACTTTTTTCCTCCCCGTCACCCTTCTTTGTATTTCTAACCACTTAATGTAGCATTATTGTGTATTTTATTATAATTGTATCTGGTACAAAATCTGCGGCTTTATAATGTCCTGGTTTGTCTTTATTTTTTTACGTTCTATGGAGATTTGAGGAACTTGGAATGAGAAGTTGGGCCTTTGGTTTTTTTTTTTGTTTTGTTTTGTTTTGTTTTTTTTTTAATAACTTGTACATTTAACTTGTACATTTAACTGACTGCTAACTTTAAGTAAAAACAAGTAGCCACGAGTGCAACGCCTCCTTTTGTCTGGTTGCCCAGCAGCATTCCACTAACACAAAAAAAAAAAAAACTGAGCACGTGAGCATGTGGAAGTATGTCAATCTTATCGTTTTAGTGTCAGTAGGTTCGCTTGCTGGCTGCACGTGAAGCCTCAAGTTCTTATCTGCTATTTGTTTATGCTTTTTTTATTTTTTTTTGCAGATAAGTACTAAGTAGTTTGTATCGTGTTCAGGATCATTGACCTTGAAGAACTGATCAAATGTTTTTTTGCCTTAGTTAAAAGAGGGTTGCGAATAAAAGAGACTCGGAGGGATAATTTACTCCCAAATATAATCCGACGATTAAGCAACATGAAAATTAAAGCTTTTCAGAAAATGCACAAACAATTATTGTTCAGTTCATGATATGGTTTCTAACATGTTAGAAATTTGGTAAAAATTGTGTTTTTCCAAATTAAAGCTATTGTTTGCAAAAGTCTTGTTTTGGAAAAAAAAAAAACCTTGATAGACTTTCATGGAGGTATACCGAAACCTTAAAATATTTGCTGTTGAGAGGTTAAAATTCTCAGGATTTTGACACTTTTAAATCAAACAAGGTTACTACGTGATGAATCAGTCATCAAAAATATGTATTGATTAATTTGATCGACGTGTGTGTGAATGTGATACAGCAGGTGCTCAGTGGGGGTACGCGTTACAGCAGGGGGGCGGGGGAGTCTAAGTGAGGCGGATGGGTCTGGAGAGTCGTGATTCACCGCTGGCGTGTAGGCGGTCGGTGAGCGAGGTTGAGAAATAACACGCTGTGGAACATCTTCACCTTTTTTTTCCTTTTTGGCTCGGCACGATGCAACGAACCAGCTGCGAGTTGTTCGGTTGCCTTGCTGTGATGGTTACCATGAAGCGACATACTTTGGAAGAATACTTGCCCGGTCATAAATTGGCCCACATTAACATGATCCTCTTTTTATAAATATTCACAATTCACATGGGATGATTGAAAACTGGTTTTGAGTGTCGGTGTAGTATCATACTGTAACCCTACTCTACTGCAGTTTGGAGCCTGGTGTGTATATATTGTGTGCTGTTTACCACAAGTGTATTCTTGGCTAGTCCACTTCATGAAGTCAACTGCATACTGGAATCAGAAGCAGAGTACACCAGTCTAGTAGTCTAATCCAGATTTGTGTTGAAATCCAGTTCTTTCTTTAAAGCAGACTAGACCAATATAATCCAGAGTTGCTCTAAAACAAGACTGCATTTGCATCGTTGTCTCTTCCAGTCATCATGTCCAGGTCTCTTTTTGAAGCACGTTAAGGCAGTCTCGTAGTCTATTCCAGTTCTTACATTAATACTCTATACCAGCCAAATCCGGTTCAATCTAGCATTCTAGATTCCTCTTCTTCTCTTATTTATATAAACCTGAATGCACCAGTCCATTACTTTCTTTGGAGCAGGCTAACAGTCTAGTCTAGTTATTTCTTTAAAGCCGTCAAGATCTGTCTATGCCAGTCTAGTCTGCCCTAAATCAGACTTTGCCTAGTGCAGTTCTTATTCTTAAAACAAATTCGAATTAAATTAAGTGTAGTCTCGCTCGAGCAGTGAAGCCCAGTTCTTCGCAGACCACTTTTTGACTGCACGTGAACGCGCACCACAGCTCGATCATTCAATGGGCGGGCGGACTCGTCGCGGCGTGCACGCGGCGGCGCGTTCGGCTGTCACATAAAACCGGCCGAACTCCTCGCTCTCCTCTCAATACGACGGGACCGGAACCTCAAAACGGACGACGAGTGCCGACCCACACCAGTATGTATGTATGTTTGTTTGTTTGTTTTTTAAAATGCACGTTACACTATATATACATATATAATCTCCATAGTCTGTAGACTGGTAAAGACGACAATACATAACGAGCTCTGTTGATATATTCCTTGAAAAATGTGTGCAAATGTTTCACATGACTCGGAAACCGGTTTTGCACGTCTGCGGTAATGTTTTATACACTAAACTTCAATGCATAACAAATGATAAAAGACGTACGAATTCTTGAATGTTCCACCCTCACTAAAATTAAAAGCCACTTATTTCATGCGGTTGCCATGTAACGTCTATGCCCTATTTCTTGTCATGTGTATTTTCGAAAGAAATTGTAGGAGGACGTCTTGAAGAAACGCACAAGCACGTGATCCTTACCCACGACATACAGCTTCCCATTACAGTGAGTAAAATTGAAGACAAAGAGTCTTCCCCGTGTAGTCGTATTAAAATTGTGTTTTCACAAAGATTGTGATCGCCAACGCGCCTGACGTATTGAGAAGTGTGAGCGTGTTCGTGTGCGTGTGTGTATATATTTATAAAATATTCTGATTACACCGCCCTCTGGTGGCCAAGGAAGTATGAAGCGCAGTGACACACGTAATCATGATGCACAAACTGAATCATTCTTTACATTCTACGATTTGATTACGTTATTACGGTATGTTTTTATTAAACAAAATACTACATAGTGCCACTTTTATGTTAAAAAGACGTAAAACAATTCTTGGTGTTTTTTTTAGGAGGCTGCGATGGATTAAAAGCAACTGGTATCTCGGGGCACACTTTTTGTAGAAATTTTGTTTGGTGTTTTACAGTAACATTTTTTTAATGATAGAAGAGGGGGGGCTGAAAACATAATTTTGTCAACGCGTTTTTTTGCCCATCAATTATATGTAGGTTTTCACTATTCATGAGCTGGCACGGGTCCACCGGAGAATTTTTCAGGTCATTATCTTGAAATACTGTGTAAATAATAATGTTTTCCCTTGGTAGCCTCTGCGTGGAATGCAGTAACCGAGGTGTGACAGTCATGGGGGACTCGTTCTTCAACTGCTGTTATCTCCCACCCCAGCCCCCAGGCGAGGAGGAGCCCCCCGGCTCCCGAACCCGCGGAGAGAGCAGAATGGCCTCACGTATCTCCCCGGACAAGCGCTTCCTCATCTTCTTTGATTTTGATGAGACCATCGTGGACGAGACCAGCGACGACATGGTGGTGCAGACAGCGCCCAACCAGCATCTCCCCGCCTGGCTGAAGGACACGTACCAACCGGGCCACTACAACGAGTACATGCAACGGGTGCTGGCTTATTTGGCTGAGCAGGGCGTCACTGAGAGCGACATCCGCACCGTCATGGAGAAGCTGCCCGCCACCCCTGGCATGCTGGCGCTGCTCCAATTCCTGCGCAACCGCCCGCCGCACGACTTCGAGGTGGTCCTGCTCTCGGACGCCAACACCTTCTTCATCGAATCCTGGCTGAGGCGAGCCGGCACCCGGTCTCTCTTCCATCGCATCTTCTCCAACCCGGCCACCTTCAACAGGGAGGGGCGGCTGGTGCTGAAGCCTTTCCACTCTCACGAGTGCCCGCGTTGTCCTGCGAACATGTGCAAGCAGGCGGTGGTAAGAGAGTACATCACACGCCGGATCCAGGAGAGGGGGCGCCCCTACCAGAGGGTCTTCTACGTGGGCGACGGCGCTAACGACTTCTGCCCGGCGCTCGCCATGGGGCCCCGGGACATGGTCTTCCCACGGCGAGACTTCCCCATGCACCGCCTCATCACCGAGACCCACGAGGCCACGCCGGGGGAGTTCAAGGCGGTGACGGTGCCCTGGTCCTCCGCTGAGGAGGTGGTCCAACGTCTCAGGAAGCTTGTGGCCGAGTAGGGCAGTTAATTGGGATGAGCATTGCAATCAATTAATTACACTGGTCAATCGCAATTTTTCGGCTATATGTGTCCCTAAATGTAGGTTTGACGAAGAGTTAAAATATGCCTTGACTTGTTTTTGTTGCACATCAGGTTTTTGAGATATTTGTATTTTGGTTTTGGTTTTTAAGTTTGACCCATACATATTCTACCATGCATTGTAATTGAGAACTGACGCTTCAGAAAAAAAAATCCACCTGATGCTGAACCTGACCCTTAATCATAAATATTACTCAATATATGACTTTATTATGTATTATGTTGTACTTGTTTATAATTGTATTATCATTGTTATTACGAAAAGCTGATGTGCTCAAGACAAAAAAACGACGGCGGAGTTAGAATCAGCCCCAAAAAATTAATCTCGAAAATTTTACTTGCGTCTCTGATTAAAAATAAAATAGTAAAAATTGTTGACCAGTGTAATTAATTGTTGGAAATGATTGTTGGAGTGCACTACTCGGGTGCAATCAGTGGAGGTGATGTTGAGTCAGTTTAATTTGCCCTCCAAATAAAATAATTTGAAAGGCCAGCTACTTTAAGATGGACGTAATTGAATGTCCATCCCTATTTACAGCACTTATGCAAAGTGCACTTTAGAGCTCATTATCAGGAAAACTCTAAAAATGAATAACCTAGCTTTAAAAATCCGAATAAAACTGAAATTTTGATGCACTTGAATGCCCATCCCTAATAAGTATGGATATGCTCCTATACTTAGGATGTGCATTTCAGATCACATTATTGGGGAAACTCTAAAAATGAAGAAACTTGCAAAGTGTTTTTCAGAGCACATTATTAAAAAAATCCAGGTGACACATACAGAAAGTTATTTAGTAAAATGTTTCAAAATAAAATACCTCGTATTTATAAATTGTATGTCCCTGTGCCTCACCCAGAACAGGTCTCTTGCCAACCAAAAACAACATTCAAGGCAACAATTTCATTGTATTGGTTCACTAAAGTCATATTTGTGTGTTTGGCCAGCATGTGCCTCTATATTGGCCTTAACGGGGCATGTGCACCTCAGACCTGCCCAGCCATAATCAATACAATGCTTTTAAAAACGTATGTCTTATCTGATAGCAATGCCTGTTCAGTGTTTGTCGTGCGTCGTTTCTGCACTTTTCCTTTCATGTTCTGCAGCAATATTCTTTCACCAAGGTGCTTCTTTTAAAATATTTTATCCATGTACTGTATATGCGTTTTACGTCTTTTATGTCTTTTCGTTTGAAGGCCATTGCCTTGTTGTGGAACTTGTTACCAGCAGCAATATGGAAATAAAGCCATCAACTGAAGCCATGTTTGTGTTGTGATTAATCAAACTTTCAGCAATCTTTTTCAGGGGAGAAAAAAAAAGTCATTTTTGGCTGAGACTGGCATCTCATTAGCAGAGCACAACTGACTGCTAATTGATGTATGGTTTCCCCAAAAGCAAGTCTTTTATTATTGTCCAAAGGCCAAATCAAATGATTGTGGTTAAGTGGATATATTTTGTGTACATAGAATGTTTGGTTACAGAATACAATCCCGTGGAACTAAATTCCGGTCTTCTCAATTATTCTTATTCTTTGCATAGTTTACCCACTGCAAATTTATTTTCGAAAAAAATCGTATGACAGCATATAATTATTCACCGTAACAGGTGTATTATGAACAAGATACCTTTCTTGCTTTCTTCTTTGTAAAAAAAAAAAAAAAAAACAATGTTGGATCAAAGCATTACAGCAAAACATTAATCTCCAAACATACGTGGCCTCTTTTAAAGTGCGTGAGTTGCATTCTATAAACCACCACTCGTTGAAACAAAGGCGATAGTGAGCACACTCAGGCGATTATTCGCTGTTCAAACGAACGAACAAAATAAGATACCGGAAGTGGTCTTTCATACGCATGGCGCTATTTGGAAAATAGATTTACTTGCTCAAAGCTAAACGAATTGTTCCATATAATTTTGGCCATTGTACGTTATTCCTTCGTTATTGCAGAATACAGGTAAGTGTTCCCTCATCATCGTTGTAAACTAGCATTGTTGTATTACGGCCTTAACGTAACACCAACGTTGTTTCGGGTGTCATTCATTCTTTGCCTCGCTAGCCGGTTAGAATGCTAATAGTGAACTAAAATTATATTTTGCTGCATGCATAAATGTTGGGGGCGAAAGGGTTTAAACTTTCTTAGACATTCACACGATAAGTACTTATCTGAGCTCTTAATACTGTATCTGGCAAGTAATGTAATGAAATTACTGTAAATTTGCATTAGCCGTATTGGAAGCGTGATGGAGAGTGGGCTTGTCGACTTTCCATTTACAAAGCAACGAAACCTTGCAAACTAAATAATTCAGATATATTTAAATACCTAGGCATCTAAACCTAATGTTTAAGAGTCTTCTCAGCTTGTGTTTTGTCATGCATTTGTTTACAGAGTCATTGATATTTCTACTTTATCTCTCATACATACCTTTAACCAACATGTAAATTTCTTGCTCAAGTTTTCTGTATAATGGAGGCTGATCTGTACGACGAATTTGGCAACTACATCGGTCCAGAGCTTGACTCTGATGATGACGATGAGAATGATTTGGATGCTGAGGACCGAGATGCAGATGAGGTATTGTGTAGTTTTTTTTATTTTTGGGACAGGTTTAATCTGCTTGTTCAAGAATAACACGTGTCCTCTTGTGGTGCAGGGAGACGAGAATGATGACGATGAGCCGGCCGATGCCGATGAGGACGTGCCCGGCATGGAAGTTGTGCTGCATGAGGATAAGAAATACTATCCGACTGCCGAGGAGGTGTATGGGCCGGAAGTGGAAACCATCGTCCAAGAGGAGGACACTCAACCTCTCACAGGTTGGAGATTAAAGATTTTTGAATGCTTGCGCAACCTTCAATGCAAAAATTTATGAACCAGCCCTGCTGGTAAGTTGCCGGTAAAATTGACTTGTTTTCCATTTAAAAAAAAAAAAAAAAAGGACCACATTTTGAATCGTGTAATTAGAAAAACATCGTTTGTGTGCAGTTTTTTTTTTTGTCCTGACTAAACAGGATGAACATTTTTGGTGTACCAAGGAAACTTACTTGATATAAATATACTTTGTGATTCATTTCACCATCTGCCACCATTTAATGTACTTTAAAGTCCTCTCTCGCCATCCAATCAGAGCCCATTATCAAGCCAGTGCGACACAAGCAGTTCACCCTGATGGAGCAGGAGTTACCAGCCACGGTTTACGACATGGAGTGAGTTTGGATGGAAACAGAAAAAAATTGTCAAATTCGACCCATTTGTCGGGATGTGTGTGCATTAGCTTGAGTGATCTTCAATCGTCATTTTCCTCCTCCTGCCAGGTTCCTTGCCGACCTGATGGACAGTCCCGAGCTTATCCGTAACGTCACCCTGTGTGGTCACCTCCACCACGGCAAGGTGGAACTCGACCCGCCATCTGTGTCTTTTCTTCTGCGGCAGTTTGCCCAATTCACCCTTGCGCATGTCTTTGTTTTCCTCTTCAGACCTGCTTTGTCGACTGTCTGATTGAGCAGACCCATCCCGAGATCAGGAAGAGAGATGACATAGATGTGAGTGTGTCATCTGTGATAAGAGTTCGCTCAAAATGACTGCTGACTAACGCCAGGCTTCTTGACCCTTTCAGCTGCGGTACACAGACATCCTCTTTACCGAACAGGAGGTGAGCGTGCCGTATTAGAAGAATAATACATTCAGAAAAAGAGCATGCCATATATAAATATATACCTATATATGAGGCATTGAGGAAATGCGCAGCGTGTCACTTTAAATCATACGTATTTTTTTGTTTGCATTTCACAGAGAGGCGTGGGTATCAAGAGCACGCCTGTCACACTGGTGCTCCCTGATTCCAGGGGCAAATCTTACCTGTTGAACATCATGGACACGCCAGGTACTCTCCTTCATTTTGTGATCTCAACGTCAGATACTGAAACCGTTCCCTTTCCCAACCAGGCCACGTCAACTTCTCCGATGAGGTCACATCCAGCATCCGCATCTCGGACGGCATCGTCCTCTTCATCGACGCGGCGGAAGGAGTACGTACGTCTTAGTGTCGTAGTTGCGGCAGCCATTTTGAGGGGGCCGTTCACAGACGCGTGACTGGCAATGTCGTCGGCCGCAGGTGATGCTGAACACGGAGCGTCTGATCAAGCACGCCGTACAAGAGCGCATGGCCATCACCATCTGCATCAATAAGGTGGACCGGCTCATCGTGGAGCTCAAGCTGCCACCCACCGACGCCTACTACAAACTCCGCCATATTGTGGACGAAGTCAACGGTCTGCTCAAGTAAGTGGCCGTCACACCACAAACCTCTCGCAACAATGCTGTGTGTTCATTTAGTACCTCTTTCCCCCCTTCAGCACGTACTCCACCGACGAGAACCTGGTGGTTTCTCCTCTCCTGGGGAACGTGTGCTTCGCTAGCTCCCAGTACAGCATCTGCTTCACCCTCGGCTCCTTTGCAAAGATCTACGCGGATACTTATGGTGAGACGACCGCATATTAACACTCGGACAAGCCTCCTTTCTCATGAGTATGTGTGTTTTTCCAGGTGACATCAATTATACAGAGTTTTCCAAGAGACTCTGGGGTGACATTTATTTCAACCCAAAAACGTGAGTGTCAGACCAATATTTGGCATTTAAACATACGTTTTCTCAAGGCTTTTTTTTGTTTTTGTTTTGTGTCATTAAGGCGCAAGTTCACCAAGAAAGCTCCCACGAGTAACTCCCAGCGCAGTTTTGTGGAGTTTGTCCTCGAGCCACTCTACAAAATCCTTTCACAGGTTGGAGACAAAATCCTACACAAGCATGTTCAGAGCCCATGAGGTCCAATCAAGCCAAATTTCCTGAAATCGTCTCTTTGTTTAGGTGGTTGGGGATGTGGACACGTCCCTCCCAAGAGTGCTGGACGAACTGGGGGTTCACCTGAGCAAAGAAGAACTGAAACTGAACATCAGGCCGCTGTTAAGGCTGGTGTGCAACCGCTTCTTTGGAGAGTTCACCGGTATATCCTAATTTGTATTATTTATTTATTTATTTTTAGAAAGACAGACATTGATGACACATATCCACAATTCTGCTCTTGGGCTAACAATATGTTACGGGCACATTTAATTCTGACCTGTTCTCTGCAGGCTTGGTGGACATGTGTGTGCAGCACATCCCCTCGCCACAGGAGGGCGCCCGGAACAAGATAGAGCACACCTACACTGGCGGTCTGGACTCAGACTTAGGGGAGGCCATGGCTGAGTGTGACCCAGAAGTGAGTTTTTATGAGCGACTGATACAGGCATTCAAAAAAAATAATAATAATAAAACACAAAGACATTCCTAGACTATAACAGCGATGGCAAGTCAGCAGGCCACATTTTATTCAACTTTCATTTCTGGCCATGTATTACAATACTTTGGTCCGTAAACTGTAAAATGACATCTGTCAAAGAGTTCACTTAATCTCAGACTCGTAACATTGACACTCCCTTATTCAGGGCCCTCTGATGTGCCACACCACCAAGATGTACAGCACCGAAGACGGCGTTCAGTTCCACGCCTTTGGCCGTGTTCTGAGCGGGACCATTCAGGCGGGCCAGCCCGTCAAGGTGTTAGGTGAGAACTACACCCTGGAGGATGAGGAGGATTCCCAAATCTGTACCGTCGGCCGGCTCTGGATTTCCGTCGCCAGGTGCGCCTTGAGGATTTGGACTTTTTAAAGTTGGAGCGTTTTTCTTAATGAGTTAAACCTCACCCGCCCCGCTTTTTTTTTTTTTTAAGATATCAAGTTGAAGTGAATCGAGTTCCAGCCGGGAACTGGGTCCTTATCGAGGGATGTGACCAGCCCATTGTCAAAACGGCCACTATCACGGAGCCCCGAGGGAACGAGGAGGTCAGACTCTGCCGACTCCGACAAATAGCGGTAAAGGCTAAAAACGAACGCTTGCTTTATGGACTTCTTCCTCTCGCTTCAGGCTCAGATTTTCAGGCCCTTGAAGTTCAACACAGCGTCCGTGATTAAAATCGCGGTGGAGCCCGTGAACCCGTCAGAGCTGCCCAAGATGTTGGACGGACTGCGGAAGGTCAACAAGAGTTACCCCTCCCTCACCACAAAGGTGCGTCACATCACTCACGTAGATGTAATGATGTCTGTAAAAGGTGCAACTTGCTTCATGTGTAGCGTTGTGTATGACTTGAAAGGTGGAGGAGTCAGGGGAGCATGTCATCCTGGGCACGGGAGAGCTCTACCTGGACTGTGTTATGCACGACCTGCGCAAGATGTACTCTGAGATCGACATTAAAGTAAGTCAGATGCATGTTTGTGTAATACTTCAGTTTGGGTTTTTTTTCCGCTTTTATTTTGAGACAAAAGGTCTACATGTCCATAGGTTGCCGACCCGGTGGTGACGTTCTGCGAAACAGTCGTGGAGACGTCGTCTTTAAAGTGTTTTGCGGAGACGCCGAATAAAAAGTGAGTAGGAGGTACATGCCCTGCAAAATGTAATACAGGAGAATCATCACAACATTTTGCATTTATTGGTTATGCTCTCAGCGTGATGCGTTAAAGGACATATTTGACATTATTTTCATAATTTAGAACAGCTTCCAGGTGAGAGCTCGAAAACGTGGATCTCGTTGGGTGCGCTGCATCTTGTGGCCAGTGAGGGTTTTATTATCATAGAGTGAAAAAAGAATTGTCATCAGCGTTGGCCTCCCCCTTCTGACAAGCGGTGTCAGAGCAGGTGATTGACAGCTGACTGTGCGCTGCCATTGGCAGGAACAAGATCACCATGATCGCCGAGCCCTTGGAGAAGGGGCTGGCCGAGGACATTGAGAACGAGGTGGTGCAGATCACGTGGAACAGGTACGACGCCGGCCTCCAGATATCCAGTTATCTCATGATGAATTAAAATGGCCGAGTTGTAACGGACGTACAGCGAGACGTTTCCCTAACGGCTCCCAAGACGTCGTCATATTTCTCTTTTATCCCTCACTTAGCGACTGACGAATGCGCAGGCATGCAGAAGTGACCGTTTGGTCTTTTAATTAAATGCCAGGATGGAAAAATGCAGCACAGTCACGTGTGCAGTTGAAGCTCAAAACGACTTAATATTCTTTTTAATTTTACGTGGCGCGCCACAGCCGGGTGACATTTCATTCCGTTGAGTGAGTGTTTTGGGGGAATTGAATTTCATTCAGTGATTTGCTTTGTAGCGCAGTTCTCTTGTGGAGTATTTGGACAGAAAATAAAAGATGTTGTGCTGTGTTTGGTGAAACGTGGACCTCTTTTTAAGAGTCCTGCTCGCTGTATTGATCAGCTCACTTACGCTAATTGGAAATGCTCTGAAAGCACACATGAGGTTTCCTCTCCCTGTGATACAAGGCGTGCGTGTGTGTGTGTGTGCGTGTGTGTGTGTGAGGTTATCCAGGTGCGACGGTGCCGCAAAAGCGACACACTTCACCCCCCATTAGACCGAACCTCTTCCTCTTCCATTAACCCCTGCGCACATCCCAATCAACTAATCTCTTTTATGTTACAGCTGACACTTCTCGCAAAGCACGTTTTTTTTTTTCTTAACCGTCTTCCTTCTCCTCCAGGAAGAAGCTGGGCGAGTTTTTCCAGACAAAGTACGACTGGGATCTGCTGGCCGCCAGATCCATCTGGGCCTTCGGACCCGACACAACGGGGCCCAACATCCTGGTGGATGACACGCTGCCCTCTGAGGTCAGAATTACAAAGTGCTTTTCAGCAAATACGACCTGTGGGAAAACAGGACGAGTGTGCGTGTCGAGATATAGATATCGATCGATCGGCTGACATGTTTCGCCGCCATCTTTCTGCTACGCATACCCGAAGGAGACAACTCACCTGATCACAAATTTGCCTGATCAATGAGGGAAGACTAGAAATCGTTTGTGACGATATTTTGTTTGCACTTCTCCTGAGGAAATTGTTGGTAGGCTTTGCAAAGTGCGGTGCTTGAACAAAAAGAACCCGTTTCGAACTTAGGTCCTTGCATTCTACTAGATCACCACTAGATGGCAACTGCCTTTTCCCACACACTACTGTACTGGAAAGAAATGCAAATTGATATGTTCAAAAACTCTTGACAGGAAGTAGCATAGCGTCTGGCTATTGTGCATTTGTCAACTGTACAAATACAATCATTATAAAACTTTTTTTATTTTTTTGTCAATTGTCTGTGTTGTTGTGCCTGGCAGGTGGACAAGGCACTGTTGGGCTCAGTGAAAGACAGCATCGTTCAAGGTTTCCAGTGGGGCACCAGGGAGGGGCCCCTGTGTGATGAGCGTAAGGCCCACGTCTTTTCAAAGCTGGACTTCAGCTGCACTAGTTTTGATTGTATTTTATTTAAATTTTTTTTTTAACTTGCTAATGCTAAAGGCAAAACTGTATGACCAGCTTTTGCTCAGCCCCTCACCTCGACTTCACCATGAATATTGCCAGCGAGAATGTCTTTCTTTTTTTTTTTTTTTTTTTCCTCCTTGACCTCCTTCTACCTTCTAAATATCCGCCAGCCATCAGGAACGTCAAGTTCAAGATCCTGGATGCGGTCATCGCTCAGGAGCCGCTGCACCGCGGAGGGGGCCAGGTCATCCCGACCGCCAGGAGGGTGGTGTACTCGGCCTTCCTCATGGTGAGATCATCGAGACCCCCGCCCCCGGCCCTCTTTCCCGTCTGCCGTTCGACTCCTCCCGCCTCGCTTTCTTTAATGTTCCATTACCCTGATTACACTTTGCATTTCGCTGACGATCGTTCTCTTTAATTGCAGCGCAGTGACGTTTCTCGCTCACCGTTTTTGGCTCGCCTCCTAATCTCGTTTTGACGGTGTCGCGCATGCATGTGGTAGTTTCATGTTCAACAAGGTTCTTCTGGTTCTTTTTTTTTTTTGTTGTTGTTGTTGTGCACTCCAGGCCACCCCAAGGTTGATGGAGCCGTACTACTTCGTGGAGGTTCAGGCGCCCGCTGATTGCGTCTCCGCCGTCTACACGGTGCTCGCCAGGAGGAGGTCGGTCTCTCTCCCGATCACTTAAAACCGCCGATCCAGGATTCACACTGTCGTCGTCGTTTCGCAGAGGTCACGTCACGCAGGACGCGCCCATCCCGGGTTCCCCCCTCTACACGATCAAGGCCTTCATCCCGGCCATTGACTCCTTTGGCTTTGAGACCGACCTTCGCACGCACACTCAGGGCCAGGCCTTCGCTCTGTCTGTCTTTCACCACTGGCAGGTATGAGTTTGCCACCGAATCAATTTCATGCCACAAATAAGTTGACGGGAGTACAAGGATTATTTTGTCGATCCCAAAAACATGTTTCAACTACATACTGTGTATAACACCCAATGCATAGTATACATGGAAGATTTTTTTTGTTGTTGTCAGTTTTGCACCATTCAGTCAGTCTCAACCAGTGCAGAACTTTTAAAACTCCAAACCGTGAAGCGGCACTGAACGCACACGTGCCAACCCGCGTGCAACAAAATCTCATCACGCCGTATACATTGCGAATCACATCCGCCACTCGGCCTCAATCACCGCTGATGTGCGGCAAGTGGTGAGTCATTAAGATTTAAGCCCCGTCCCGGGCTGCCATGTCCGACATGTGTTTGTGCGCCCTCTCAGCGGCTGTCGCCCAGCGTTAAGCTCCACTTAGATGAGATGAGTGCTTATTATGGCAAACTCCTTCATCTGGAAGCGGGAGGGAAGGTGCCGTCTTTGCACCTGAACGTCTCACCGGCAGCATACAGGAAATATAATCGACCAAACCCGCTTATGATGTTCAATTTGGAGCTCTCAATTGAAACGCAAGTTTTATGGCTGTGTGTTTCTAATCATAGTGTGCAACAAGTATGGGGGGGGCGGGGCTTCAAAAGTGAAATTCATAAAGATTCACAGAGTGGAATATTTCATGGTTTTCTGTAATTTTGATTATTTATAGCTTGCCAACAAATGTGTATCATATTCTGGATTTGTATTACCACAGTGACTTTCAAAAGCTACCCCGAGCGAATTTTGTGTTTGGTCTTTTTCAATTAGGAACGTTATTTCTCCATGAATCATGTTTTCATAGCCGACGTTAGTGTTTGCAGTCAGGTGAAATGTAACGTTTCCTATAACGCCGTGCCGGAGGAATGATTTATTTCTCAAAGTCGCAACCTGGTGTCCTTGTCCCTCGAGGATCTGCCCGATGGCCTCCAGCAGCGAGTCACATCATCACGAGCTCGCATAATTACATATTTACTTGCTCAGCATTCATCTTCTCCGCCCGCCACGGCTTTGGGCAGAACAGACTGACTAGCATTGATTCAGCTGCCCCTGGACGACGCTTTGTTTGCCCCATTAAGCTCGTTTGTGCGCTGGTGGTCTGCCAGTGCAGCCTTGTAATCGATGTCAACTTACTGCTCCGTCCATCTGTTGATTTGCCTCCAGCCTCTCAGTTGATGGTTTCCTCCCATGTGTTGTCCCATCCTGAGGCCAGGAAACTTGCCTTCAGCCTGGGGTGGCTTACTAGGGAGATACTCAGTCATTCAGGTCAGGCTGAAGTCAAGAACCCATGATTTCTGACAGACACTACATTTCCATAAACTGGAAGGCAGATTTCACTTCCAGATATCCTGGATTATTTCGAAGTTTCACTTTTACCGTGCACTGATTGGAGTCACCTCGTGCCTGATGAAGCAAAGCAGCCCCAGAAAATAACACCTCTGTGCGATAGTCCGATGTGATTGATCCCAAAACTCTGTCCAAGGCTTTGTAACTCGCAAGATTGTAGTTGTCAGTTTCAAGTGATTTCATTGAAGTTTTATTTTTTTAACATACAGACAGTTTTGATTGTGTATGAAACGCCTTTAACATTACAATGCACTTCATATCCTGGCCATTACTTTTTTTTTTTTTTTTTTTATGGACTGTTGTTCGTATAGTGATTTACAAAGTGCGCCAAAGACTGAATGAAGCCATTTTATTAGAAGCTCAGTTTATGAACAGAGGGACTTTTTCAGCATCACCAAAAAGTTGGAAAGTCTTGCATGTTGTGATAGTGTTACCTGACAATGAGGGTCATGGCGTGCTTGCGATTTGCGTGAGTCATTGGCAAAATCATCTTAACCCCCCCCCCCAAAAAAAAAAAAACCTCTCTTACCCTGCCAACGTTGCACTGATGCCAACACCGGTCACCAGCAGCGCTCGCACGTCTTGCCTTCATCAACATGATGGACGCGCTCCTGAGTCAGTGGCAGTAACGCAACACACACGCCAATGAATCAGATGAGAAGCAGGGAGAGGGAAAAAAAAAAAAAAACCCACACCAAAAAATAAAAAGGTGTCCACTCAGCGAGACCGTCAAGCATTTTTCAGATTTGACGGATTGTTTCTCTGATTTATTTTTTTCCCTCCTCTCAACTTGATACAAATGAGAAGAGTTCTCAAGTGCACCTCAAAGATGCTTCTTCCGGTTATGTTATCTCGGGTTTTTAGAATTTAAGGATTTTATGAGGCAGAATAAAATTCTTATAACCAATTAACGTTTACAACAATGCATTTGTATTGTATTGTTGTACGTTTTTTTTTCTTTTTTTGGGTGGTAAACAGTTGTCATGTTAATTTGTTTTCCACGGGGAGAATTGAAAAATGAATAAAATGATGTATGAGCTTGATCATGAAAAAGTTCAACTTTAGGGAGCACCCCATCTTAAAAGATATAATGTGTTTGCCAGATTGTTCCCGGCGACCCGCTGGACAAGAGCATCGTGATCAGACCCCTGGAGCCTCAGCCTGCCCCCCACCTGGCCAGAGAGTTCATGATCAAGACCCGACGGCGCAAGGTGAACCTCTTCTTCATCATCTCGTTTATCATCTTCTTTCTCTTCTATTTTGTCTTCTTCGTCTTCAGCGTCTCCTTCGTCTTTTATCTTTTCCTTCTTCGCTTTCTTCTCCTGATCAACTTTCCATCCCGTTCCGCCAAGTTGGCCATTTCTGTCACCCATAAGATCTTCCGCCCTCTCAGCCGGGCGTTTTGAAGGCTCGACTCAGATTAGAACACTTCTATTGAGTTGTTAATGGTACTTTGAAAATCAAATTGAGTCAAGTTTTCGTCTTCACCACCTTCTCCGGTTGCTTTTATTTCCACCTTTCACGACTGACTCCCCATTTTGTTTTTGCGGCAGGGTTTGAGCGAGGACGTGAGCATCAGCAAGTTTTTCGACGATCCTATGTTGTTGGAGCTGGCCAAACAGGACGTGGTGCTCAATTATCCCATGTGAATGCAACTACAATGTGGCTAAAACCCATTCTTTTTTTCTTAAAAAAAAAAATCCACACATCCTGATAGCTATACATGTTTTTTTAATCTTATGTCTCCTTTTGTTTTCTGTATGTATAAAATAGTTGTAGAATACACAAAACACCTTGGAAACCATTTTTAAGAATATGCTGTTGATTTGAATAATAAAAATGAAAAAAAGTATCTTTGTACTTGAACTTTGTTTAATTTTTTTCCCCCCCATTACCATTGAAGAAAATCTCTATCTTAATGCTGTTTTTTTTTTTTTTTTTTTTTTTTTTGAGCGTGGGTCTCCTTGCGATATTACACGAAACCCCTACAGGCGATAGGGACCAAGGCCATGCAAGCCAAATGACCTCAACATTACGCAAGGATCAGTGATTAAGCACATTCAAGTTGCCAAATGCAATCTGGCACAGATCTGGATTCAACTTTACTCCTTCTGACCCCTGTATAAGCACAGCAATTTGATTCAATTTGGTTTAAGAGAACACAAAGAAAAAGACAAACTTAAAACATTCGTTGACGAAAGCTGCTTGCCACATTCTCGATGGCCAGAAACTTTTTTCAAGCGAGCGGCACGAGGTCGCGTCCGCGGCGACGTTTGCGGTGATCGCCGTGTCGACTCGCGACTCTGTGTGGGCCGTGACTGATGGACAGGCTGATGAATGAATGGAGGCAGGCGGGGACCAAGCCAAAGTTGGGAAGAAACTAAGACACTGATGCAACGTGGCAGTGAAGACACTGAAGCGACGCGACTTGCAATATACATATAAATATTGATACTTTGTTTGGGGGTGGGGGGGGGGTCCCTTTTCCAAATGCAAGCTACAGAGCTACAGTCCACTTCACCGGGATGTCTACGAAAGACTACCATTGTCGACTGCACGTGATTCGGATAGTTGTACTTGTATAGACGCTTTTGTCGGACTCGAGGTGTCAGAGCGGGCGAGTCTATCACTTGACACTGACTTTGCACCCCACCATGACACCATACATCCCCCCCTCCCCCCCACTGTCTTGTATTGGAAGTGATGGTGATGGAAAGGACAGAATATACATAAAGTCTGGACACATAGAATAATTGTACCACATATACCAGTACCAAAATTGACAGCAATGTGGATTTATTGCATCAAGTTTACAGAAATTTTGTAAAACATATTAACATACTGTTCTGTATTGCAAATGATGGGAATAATATTGAAGATGTTCTTTTAATAAAAATGTGTATTTAAATTGACAATGTTTGAAATTGTGTTTTGTCCAGACGGAAGAGGCACCGATGTCCAATCAACATGCAGAGAATCAATTATTGTTTCCAATTATTCTAAAAAGAGGCTTCAAGCTTGTTTCATGCCACTTCCAGATGAAGTTGACTGTCAAACTAAACAGAAACCCAAGAGAATTACTCTACACCTTGTGGATTTAAAACTATACATGGTGCAAAAACTATACACCCGAAAAAAACGACCATGTATAGTAAGGCGTTTTGGGCCGAAAAAAACGACCTCATATAGTAAGGCGTTTTTAGCCGAAAAAGACGACCATGTATAGTAAGGCGTTTTTAGCGGAAAAAAACGACCATGTATAGGAAGGCGTTTTTCGCCGAAAAAAACGACCGTGTATAGTAAGGCGTTTTTAGCCGAAAAAGACGACCATGTATAGTAAGGCGTTTTTAGCGGAAAAAAACGACCATGTATAGGAAGGCGTTTTTCGCCGAAAAAAACGACCGTGTATAGTAAGGCGTTTTTAGCCGAAAAAGACGACCATGTATAGTAAGGCGTTTTTAGCGGAAAAAAACGACCATGTATAGGAAGGCGTTTTTCGCCGAAAAAAACGACCGTGTATAGTAAGGCGTTTTTAGCCGAAAAAGACGACCATGTATAGTAAGGCGTTTTTAGCGGAAAAAAACGACCATGTATAGGAAGGCGTTTTTCGCCGAAAAAAACGACCGTGTATAGTAAGGCGTTTTTAGCCGAAAAAGACGACCATGTATAGTAAGGCGTTTTTAGCGGAAAAAAACGACCATGTATAGGAAGGCGTTTTTCGCCGAAAAAAACGACCGTGTATAGTAAGGCGTTTTTAGCCGAAAAAGACGACCATGTATAGTAAGGCGTTTTTAGCGGAAAAAAACGACCATGTATAGGAAGGCGTTTTTCGCCGAAAAAAACGACCGTGTATAGTAAGGCGTTTTTAGCCGAAAAAGACGACCATGTATAGTAAGGCGTTTTTAGCGGAAAAAAACGACCATGTATAGGAAGGCGTTTTTCGCCGAAAAAAACGACCGTGTATAGTAAGGCGTTTTTAGCCGAAAAAGACGACCATGTATAGTAAGGCGTTTTTAGCGGAAAAAAACGACCATGTATAGGAAGGCGTTTTTCGCCGAAAAAAACGACCGTGTATAGTAAGGCGTTTTTAGCCGAAAAAGACGACCATGTATAGTAAGGCGTTTTTAGCGGAAAAAAACGACCATGTATAGGAAGGCGTTTTTCGCCGAAAAAAACGACCGTGTATAGTAAGGCGTTTTTAGCCGAAAAAGACGACCATGTATAGTAAGGCGTTTTTAGCGGAAAAAAACGACCATGTATAGGAAGGCGTTTTTCGCCGAAAAAAACGACCGTGTATAGTAAGGCGTTTTTAGCCGAAAAAGACGACCATGTATAGTAAGGCGTTTTTAGCGGAAAAAAACGACCATGTATAGGAAGGCGTTTTTCGCCGAAAAAAACGACCGTGTATAGTAAGGCGTTTTTAGCCGAAAAAGACGACCATGTATAGTAAGGCGTTTTTAGCGGAAAAAAACGACCATGTATAGGAAGGCGTTTTTCGCCGAAAAAAACGACCGTGTATAGTAAGGCGTTTTTAGCCGAAAAAGACGACCATGTATAGTAAGGCGTTTTTAGCGGAAAAAAACGACCATGTATAGGAAGGCGTTTTTCGCCGAAAAAAACGACCGTGTATAGTAAGGCGTTTTTAGCCGAAAAAGACGACCATGTATAGTAAGGCGTTTTTAGCGGAAAAAAACGACCATGTATAGGAAGGCGTTTTTCGCCGAAAAAAACGACCGTGTATAGTAAGGCGTTTTTAGCCGAAAAAGACGACCATGTATAGTAAGGCGTTTTTAGCGGAAAAAAACGACCATGTATAGGAAGGCGTTTTTCGCCGAAAAAAACGACCGTGTATAGTAAGGCGTTTTTAGCCGAAAAAGACGACCATGTATAGTAAGGCGTTTTTAGCGGAAAAAAACGACCATGTATAGGAAGGCGTTTTTCGCCGAAAAAAACGACCGTGTATAGTAAGGCGTTTTTAGCCGAAAAAGACGACCATGTATAGTAAGGCGTTTTTAGCGGAAAAAAACGACCATGTATAGGAAGGCGTTTTTCACCGAAAAAAACGACCATGGATATAGAGTCAGGCGTTTTTAGCCGAAAAAAACCACCATGTATAGTAAGGCGTTTTGGGCCGAAAAAAACGACCTCATGTAGTAAGGCGTTTTTAGCCGAAAAAAACGACCATGTATAGTAAGGC